CCACAAATCCTTGATTGGCTCATCTCCTTAGGGGAGGCAAGCCTCAGGCAAGGGGCTGTTGGCCCAATTCTCAAGCTGTAAGCAAAATTACTAAGCTTGTCTTCAGGGTTGCAGTTACTCTTGCGATCTAAAGGGCAGTGTTCATCAAGGCTCCTTGTGGCAGTTTTCCCTTCCTCTTCTTGGTTTGTCTTTGTATTATTTCTATGTCTAAAGGAACAAAACAGACCCACTAGGAATTTTGATATATCCATCCTGTAATTTTTATCCTGTTCCTGGTGGCCTAAAAGGAGCTAGAAACTGGTTTTTAACTCCTACAAGTTCAGTATAATACCACTATCTGGATTACTGTAGCTCTATGGTAGGCCTCAATATTGAAGAGAGTGATTCCTTCAATTCATTCTTTTCAAGATTGTTGTAGCTATTCTAGGGATTGTACTTTTCCAAGTACATTTTAGAAAAGGTTCTCCTTGTCTACAAAACTTCACTGAGGTTTAGATAAGGAATTGTATTAAAACTATCAATAAATTGGGGGAGAACGGACATCTTTACCATGTTGAGTCTTCTAATCCATTAATGTGGTATGTCTTTCACTTATTTGGGTCTTCTTTAATTTCTTTCATCAGAATTTTGTAGTTTTCAGGATAGAGATCTCACATATTTTTTTGTAAAGCATATAACTAAATATTTCATTTTCTTTGGAGCAATTATAAATAGTATTGTGTTTTTTATTTTGGTTTTTATGTGTTCATTGTTAGTATATAGAAATGTGATTCGTTTTTGTATGTTGATGTTGTGTGTGTCCTTTAACCTGATAGAACTCACTTATTAGGTTTAGAAGTTCTGTTGCTTTTACAGAATCCTTTGAAGTTTTATATAGATAACCATGTCTTATGCAAATAGAGGTTCATTCTTCCTTTCTAACATCAATGCCTTTTTTCCCATTGTGTTATTCAATGGCTAAAACTTCCAGCTCCATATAAATAAAAGCGGTGATCGTGGACATCCCTGTCTTTTTCCAATTCTTAGAAGGAAGGCATTCAGTCTTTCATTATCAAACATGACATTAACCACAGGTTTTTTGGTTGGCTTTTTATCAAGTTGAGGTAATTCCACTCACTACTTGAGAAGTTTTTATCATGCATATGGGATAGATTTTGTCAAATGTTTTCTCTGCATGTATTGGTAAAATCATACTTTTCTTCTTTAGTCTGTTGATATGGTGGATTACTTTGGTTCATTTCTGAATGTTGAACCAACCTTACATACCTGGAATAAATCCCACTTGGTCCGTATTTATAAGTATTTTTATTTATTGTTGGATTTCATTTACTAATGTTTGTTGAGGATTTTTAAGTCTAAATTCATGAGAGATTTGGTCTGTAATTTTCATTTTTGTGTTGTCTTTGTCTGATTTTAAGGTATTCTGGTTTGGTATTAAGATAATAGTGGCCTGTGAGATGCAAAATTGCAGTTTTCTTCCTACACAACAGTAGCACAACTCCCTTCAGGTTCCCAGACCTGGTTCCAATGCATGTGTGCAGGAGGGAGTCTTCCCACACACAACACTGAGCAGTTCTGTAACAGAGAACTCAATTCTGATGCTCTCTGCCCAGAGACATCACCAGATTCCCCAGATAAAGGGCTCTGTCCTACAAGACTGCCCTCCACCCCCAACTCCAGATGCCGATTACAAGCCCCAGGCAGTTCCCTGTGCTTCTGACCTACCAGCTACAGATTGGAGGTTCCCATGATCTTAGGTTCAGTTGATTTGCTAGAGTGGCTCACAGAACTCAGGAAAACACATTTACCAGTTTAATAAAGGATACCATGAAGGATACAAGTTAACAGCCAGATGAAGAGAGACATAGGGCAAGGTCACAAATAAAGGAGCTTCTATCATGGTGGAGCTTGGAGCCTGTCTGGGTGGTATGTGGAGGTATGGTTCTCCAAACATGGAAGCTGTCTCCAACAGGGAAGGATCCAAAAGAGAGAATGCTCTTCTCATGGGTTTTTGTGAAGACTTCATTGCATAGTCATGATTGACTATTAGCCATTGGCTGATGCAACCTCCAGCCCTGTCCTTGGGTTGGGTTCAAAAGTCTCTAATTAACACGACAAGACACCCATTTCACCTTTAAGGCCCTGTAGGGTTTTCAGGAACTGTGGATGGAGACCAAATATACCTGAAAATATATATTTGGTCATATGAGTGATGAAATATGTATTTCTTATAATTCATTATATCACAGTCCACTCACTGGTCTTCAAACACAGATTCCTTACAGCTAAATGATGGTTCCTGTCATAGCACTTACATCTGGTATAGCATTTATACAACAGCTAAACAATAATACCAATGCAATTAAGCCTAACATTTGGAGAAGCCAGTGCGGGGTGGGGACAGACTTGAAGAAACAACTAATTGGTAATAAAGTCATTACAAACATTTTTATATTGATCTAGTTCATCAACATATTTTATGATCCGAGTTTTTCCCAGAGCGATGTAACTCCGGTTTGCAGGCTGTCATTCAGCCTTGTCGGGTTCCAAATGCAGAGACGGTTTTGGCAAACATATAGCTTCATCCTTCCGGGCATCTGGTACTCTATTGCTAAGAGATAATATTATTCTTGCTCTGAGCCTCTACCAAGATATTAATAAAATGTTGGGTTTCCCTCATTGTATAACCCACTTATTCATCCCTTTACCCTCAGCTATAATTTCTCCCTGTCTCCATTTGTCATTTATCTTTACTCAGACTTTTCCCCCTGTGGAAGGGATATGAGGTTTGGCTACTGTGCTGGTCCAGATTGCAGGCAGCAATACTACTCTAGTAAGCACCTCTCCCACAGCCCACTTCTACTCATGTAAGGTAGGTTCCCCAGGGGCAGAACAAGTGGGCTGTCCTAGCCACTAGGCAGCACAGCTGTGCTCACTGTCAGCCCCAAATTGGCCAGATGGGGTGAAGGCACAATCCACACCATCAGACCCTTAGGAATTCTGAAGATTTAAGGGCAAGGTTACAGTTCCTTGCTTAGTAATCTTCCCTGCTTCTGGCACCTGCAGCTGCAACCCTGGTCCTGGAACCACTGTATCAGGTAGGAGAAAAGTTGTGGTGATATGAGGAAGACCTGTATAGTTGCTCTAGCATCCTTCCCCACCCCCTCTGCCCCAGATCCCCTGGAAAAGCAGAGGAATCTATCAAGTGGGGACCCTCTCTTAGCCCCTCTCATGTTAAGTGTTAGCACACATTCTTGAAGGCATGCAAGCCAGCCCCTCATGCCTTTATCTCCCCCCATTTTATACAGCAAATATTTCAACTGCCCACTCCAATTTTCTGTTAAACTATTGCTCTGAGGATGATATGTGACATGGTACATTCATCTGAAGTAATGTCTCCTGGCCCACTGGTGGACACAATGGGCTGTGAAGGGTGTCCCTTTGTCTGAAGAGATGTAACCTGGTGGTCCAAATTGGTACAGCATCTTCTATTCCAATCCTTTAATGGTATTTGGAGCATTTGCATCTACTACCGGGTATGCAAAGCCCAATCCAGAATAAACGTCTATTCCAGTTAATAAACGTCTATTCCAGTTACGACCCATTTATAGCCCCCAGGGGCTACTAGCATTGGTCCAGTGTAATCCACTTGCCAGCTATGTGCGGAGCCTCCCCCCCAGGGAATTTTCCCCATAGCCAACTTCAGTCTTTGTCTCTCTTGTTGACAAACAGAACAGTTCTTGTTGGCATTCTGTGCCTAAGAGGCTGCAAGAGAAGTATGTCTATAGCTACCTTGATTCACCCATTCTTTCCCATGAAAACCCAATAAAGACTCTTTATTCCCTCTTCTCTTCTGCCTCCTGACCAACCCTGGTCCTTCTCCATGAGGCCCTGAGTGCCATGCCACACCTGTTTACCAGGGATCTGTTACTTCTAGGGATATTAACTTCTTCCTTCATGGCAATAATTTCCTTGTCTATGTGTCTTACCATACCTGATTAAAGCAAATCACTCGTACATTTTTACAACAGAAGTGAATATAAATGTGTGTTTATAGGAGATAAGGGCAAGGAAGTCTTCATAATCATACAGAAAAATACAGAATCCAACATAAAAGGACTGGTTGATTTGATTAGGTAAAGGTTTTTGTTTTTGTCTTTTAACTTATTTACTTAATATACAAAGTCCAAACTGGGAAAAAATGCATCATATAGGACAGAGTCAATACCATTGGTATACAGAGAGAACTTACAAATAAATAAACAAAAGGCGAAAATGGACAAAGGATATAAACAGTCAATTCACCAACCACTGGTAGTACCAACATCTATTCAACATCTCCATGAGACAGTTAATAATGAGACAGCATGTTTGATGAACCAAATTGAGAAAAAATAAAGAAAATAATTAATCCTAGTTTTGGCACGTTGAGATTAGAACTCTAGCTGCTTTAGCAGACAAGGTGGAAACATATCTAAAATGAAAGAATCCTAAATAACCACTTAAAGTGATTTCACTATTTAGCGACATGAAAAGCCACCCACGACATATTTAGTGGGAGAAAAAAACAGCTCCAAAATATTATGATGCCAAATTTGCGGGGAGAAAAGTATTTTAAATACATATTTGCTCAAACAGGACATCTGGGAATACATAGGCCAAGATATTAATGATGCTTTTTTTTAACACTTTTGGAATAAAATATATATAATTTACACTAAAACATCAGTAATACTTTACATTCCCTGGTGACGGGAGGACGGATTTGTTTGAGAATATTGCCAGGTTGTCTGCAACATGAAAATGTTGGTAGTGAGCGATAACTCTTTTCTAAGGAAACGAAAGGAGGGTGTAGCGGTGCCCCAAAGCTGAGCGCCGTTAACGTCGTGCATCCCTCATCTCCCTGGCTGCACCGGCTGGACGTCCCCTAGTCTTGGGCAGGGCTAGAAGTGGACGCTGTACGTCACCATCTGGACCCAAATAAGACGGTGCGCCGCGGAAGGTGCTGGGAAGTGTAGTCCTGCCCCGACCTCGTCACCCACTTCCGCTTCCGTCCAGCGCAGCACCAACGTTGTTTCTCACGCGGTGGTGAGTAGGCCCGGGGTTGTTTTTGGAGGTCTTCCTTGGGGCCGCAGGGACGGGGGTCGGATCTCTAAGATCTGGGGGAAGGGCCGGCGTGTGTCGGAGGGTCAGAGCCTGGGGATTTCGAGAGCTCGGCCGGGTGCAGGAAGGGCTTGAGGGGGCGATTCCCCCAGCGTTCCCGTTCGGGATGGGGGTGCAGGGCTCAGGCCGGCAGCCATGGGCACCCGCAGGCTTGGAAGGAGCAGTTCCAGGCCGGCAGCTCCGGTTTTGAGACGGGCATCTCTCGGTTTGGAGTCTCCAGTCCAGGCAGTGGCGTTTTGATGACATCTTGAAATCTTTCACGTTAGCCGTCCACCCACTTGTGTACGAATCTCGGAATCTTCTGTCTCTGATCGTATCTGAGGCTGTGTCCTGATTCTCGTTGCCTCCTTGGAAGCTACAGCGAGCGTAGGCTTGTAGACGGGGCCCATGGCAGGAACGGCGGGAGCCCTTCTGTCTGAGCCCCTTTCCTGACCTTCTGAAGTGAGTAGCAGGACTAGATTAACAGGAAGGATAGATTGCGTCCAACTGGTGCTCAGAGATTTCTTGCCCTGGTGTGTTGGTAATTGTGATAAAGTCATGCTATTTCATGGCTTATTTTTCTTTCACAGCCTTGCCTTCTTGGGATTGTTTCTTATAAAAGAGGCAGGAATAATGTGACTTGGATTAAAGATGGCGGCGTGAGAGGAGAGACAGAGGCTTCCTCCTAAACTGAATACAATTAGAAAATTTAATTGGCGCAACTAATCCTGAGAGAGCAACAGGAAAGAGGACGCTCAGACTGCACACACCTGGAGAAAAGAGCCGATCTCAAGCGAACCGGGTAACGTACCGGAGCTGTGGCTCCGCGGGAGCCCCTCCCCCACCCCAGCTCACCGGCGGGAGGAAGAGAAACAGCAGGGAGGGAGTGGAAGGCTTGGGACTGCTGAATACCTAGCCCCGGAGATCTGCGCTGGGAGCACAAACCTACATCTCATGGTGCTTTCATGAGACTCGCATGACCACCGGGTTGCAAAGTTAATACAGGCAGAGTTCCTGGGGAGACTGGGATTCCGGCTGCTTGTGGAAAGCAGGGATCCATGTCTGGCTGCTCTGGGACGAAAACTTCTATCTGTGTGCTCAGCCGGCTGGCTCAGGCAGTGGAGACAGGCACAGCAGCCGTGAGGCAGGGAACAGCTTTTTCCTACCCCCAGGCACCAGTACCGCTTCCCTGCAACCCCCGACATTGCTCCAGGGGCTCAGCAGCTCCAGAATAGAGCTTCTGGACACTAGAGGGCGCCATAAACAAACGAACCGCCAAAGGAACCTTGTCCAGAGTAAAATTGTTAAAACAACTCCCGAGAAAGATTTAAACGATATGGACCTCGTGACTCTTCCTGAGAAGAGGCAGGAATTAACCCTGGTCTCTTGACGTTAGAACGCCAAGTGAGTAGAACATTGTTTTCATGTCATTGTTGTATTATGGCAATGGCAGCTGTCTTCCCAAATAGAGGCCTGCTTTCCTGACCTCATTCGGGGTGTGGTTTTGACAAATGCCTGTTTGGGTCCCTCAGCCACAGTTGCCTCCCCCAAGAAATGGGCTTCTTCTAAGGTTGAGAAATTTCTTGGTGTCTTTATTGAGTGTATTCTCTCCGTGGTTCCTAGTAGTGGTTCATTTGGTCAGTAAATCAGTCGGGTTTACATTACTTCAGGGCTGAGCTAGGTCCAAGGAAGAGATAATTACAGTAACTGTAATGGGATGCATTAATTAAAGGCTTATTATATGCCAGGTGTCATGCTGAGGGCTTTCACTGCTGTAGCCTGGCACTTGGAGCAGTGCCTGGCATAGAGTAGCCTGTCAGTAAATACTGGAGTGGGTAAATATATTTAATTTGCTCAGCAACTTTGCAAAGTAGACATTCTTAGTCCCATGTCACAGATAAGAATGCTGAGGCTTAGAAGCATTAAGACTCTTACCTGAGTGCCACTTGGCCAGGAGTCAGGGTCTTTGCACTTCCATTGCCCCCTGTACTCTTCACAGCCCACAGTTTTGCACAGCTGATTTATTTTCACGCAGATTCTTAGAGACCTTCCATGACAATCTGATTTGATGCTGTCCTTCCCATACCTGCTACCTGTGTTCCGTCTGAGAAAACTTAGATTCTAGTTAGTAAACAAGAGTCTCTCACATACATTTTACCTTCTTCATTGTCCTTTTTTTGTAATCAAAGATGACCTTATTGTTAGACTTGTTTACCCACCAGGATGCAAGCACTGTGAGAAAAAGATCTTGCCTGTCTCGTTTACTTCTTGAGCCCCAGTGTTTGTTAACAGTGTCCGAGATGTAGTTAGATACCAAATGCATATTTGTTAAATGAAGAGATGCCTGTATTCCTAGGTTAGTGCTGGGATGAACGAATAACAGTAATGATAATAGTGTGTTAAGGATTTTCTGTGAGCTGAGTACTGGGCAATAAGCTTATTCAAGTCGGTATGTGTGTGTATCTGTGTGAGAGAGAGACTTAATTCTTTCAGCTCTGCAAATAAATATTATCTTCACTTAACGGAAGAAAGAACAGGCTCATTCAGAGGTTTGAGACTCTACTGAAGTCGATCCAACTACAGAGTAGCTGAGCCAGAACTGAAACCCAAGCCATTTGACAGCTGCAGTATTGAGAGACAAGACTGCAGCTTCCAAAACCCTGCTCCTCCTTTGCTGTCTTGGATTAGAAGATCATAATTTGCCCATTTGTCTCAAACTTCCACCCCAGACTCATATTTGATTTCTCCTTTTCAACCCCACATGTAATTTATTCATCTAGACCTGTTACTTTTTACCTTTGCAGTGTCTCTTGTTCCCGTTACCTTTTTATCCCACTGCCTTTGTTGCCAATTATTTCTGGCATATTTCATATGCTCCCCCACTCCCAGTGTGAGCACCACACACTCAAACACTTACGTTTCTTTAGCCCCTAATCACCCGACAGCAGAATTTCAGTAAATGTGTGCTATCTTCCCAGCTAGAATGTCAGCTGCTTGAGTGCAGAGCCCTTGTCTGCCCTGATCACCACTGTGTCCCAGTGCACCCTCCACGGTCCTTAGCATGTAATTTACTAAGTGAAGGAAGTGGGAAACAAAGCTCATTCTGCTCTGTGGCTGATATCAAAGGACTCAGGATGCAGGTATCAACAGGCTGAGTCCCATTCTCCCATTTAAGCATTTATTAAGCACCTGCATTGTGCCAGGAGCAGACTAAAATCCCAGTCTTCACAAAGCTCACATTCTAGTGGGCACAGAAAGACAGGAACCAGGGAAAACAGATGGCAGGCTAGCTGAAAAATGTCACTGAGAAAAATGACTTGAAATTTTCCATAGGATAATCAGGGATGATTTTGCCAGAAGGGTGGTGCTTAAAATAGGGACCCGAAGGAAGAGAGGGGCCTGTGGACAACTGGGGAAGGGGGACAGCAGTGAAGACCCTGAGGTGGGTGCCCGACTGGTCTGTTTGAAGAACAGTAAAGAGGCCAGAGAGGCTGAGCAGAAAGAGAAAGAGAAGGATTGGTAGGAAATTGATAGTGTGAGGTCTTTTGTCATGTGAAAGGACTTTGGTGAAAGCTTCTGCCAGTGGAGTGACATGACTTCATTTATGCTTAAAAAAAATAACTCTGGCTGCTGTTGTAGGAAGTAGGCTTTACGAGGACAGGTATAGAAGCAGAGAGACCAGGTAGGAGGCTGCTGCAGTAATTCATGGAAGATATAGTGGTTCAGCCCAATTCTGGCTATAATTTGAAGGTTTTTGCTGATGATTGCATGTGGAGTATGAAAAGAGAGAGGTTAAGGATTGCTCCGGAATGTGTGGGCTGCTCATTTGAAAGGAGAGAGGGCTCTCTGGAGGCCAATCATTAGTTTGGTTTTGGGTCTGTTAAGTTAGAGATACCTTTTAAACATCCAAGTGGACATGCGATGTTGGCAGTCAGTTGTTGGCATGTAGGTGCTGTTTGAGGCTGTGAGGCTGTATGTATGTGTCACTGAGGGAGGGAATGGATAAAGATAGAATAGAATTTCATGCACTAGGTCTTGAGGTAGTCCTTTTAGAGGTCAGGGATATGAAGAGGAGCCACAGGAAATTTTGTGCAAATTAGAAACCCCTGGAAACCCTGAAAATCAGCCAGTCAGAGGAAGCTGCAATATCTTGCCACATGCTCCTTAGACTGTGGTCCCTGGAGTAGTCATGTCAGCATCGCCTGGAAAAGTGTTAGAAATGCAGATTCCTGGGCTCCACTGCAGAGCCACTGAATCAGAATCTTGGAGGTGGGGCCCAGCACTCTGTTTTAACAGTGTCTTGTGGTGGTTTTTAAGCATGCTGAAGATTGCAAAGCTTAGTCCTGGAGGGCCCTGAAGAGTTATGTTTCGATGGCTTTGGGGTGGCAGCTTGTTACTGATTTGGCCTCTGCCCTGCTTAGCCCCGTGGTCCTCAGTGTAGGAGGTTAGTGGGTTGCCCAGTCTTGCACACATGCTTCAGAGAGCAGACCTAGGGCAGGGCTGTGCCAAACAGAGTGAGGCAGAGAGGTGCTTGTCAGAGTGGGCTGTGCAAAGGGCTGAGGAAATGGTTAGAGGAAAGACGTAGACTTGAGCTCCTGAGGCAGACCAGTGCAGGGAGTATCTGTGAACTTACCCTGTGGCTCGGGTCTCGAGGGAAAACAGGAGGGAGCTCACGGTCACTGCCTTTGCATGACCTACTGACGAGCTCTAAGTTGATTGCAAGAGTTGTGTTCATCCTGCTCACATCCTGTGCGTGGAGTTCGCTGACAGTGTCTCATGTGCTGGACCCATGCAGGATGGGCAGATAAATAAAGGAAGAAGACTCAGTTTCCTTGTCGATCTAGAGGTCTTAGCAGGGCAGGCTGTGTGAAAGGTGGTGAGCCGGCAATTTAAATGAAAGTGTTTCTGGGTGCCAGGGTGATAAATTCAGTCTGGTGTTGGCAGGAGAGGAAGGCTCACGTGGAAAAGGAGTTCTTGAACTTGGGTCTGTGAGCATATCACAGTGGGTGCATGAATCTGAACGGGGAAAAGTATGCACTAGTTGAACTGAAAATTAGCCTTTCCATTAAGAATGTAGACAAGAAAACCACACTAGCAGAACCTGTAACTGTTACCCTGTAAATGGTAGGTATTGTTATCCAATAGGCAGTGTAGATACTTCAAAATACTGTTTACGCTCGTGATTATTTTGAAATGTCAGTAGTTAATTCATTCTTCATATTTAATATGTCAGTAAAGAAGCACCTACTTGATATTTTAACCTACAGTTTTGAAGGCTGTATTTCTGTATAATTAACTTTTAAATAATCCTTAGTGTTTTATCTTATCCATTTAAAACATTCCGAATAACAGTCCATAAGTATAACCCAACTGCCAAAGGAGGCCATGGAAGAGAAAAGGTTCCAAACTTGGCTTTAGGAGACATTTACTAGCCTGTATCCTGATTTTTAGAATCCTTGAAGGCAGGGATTTTGTTTTGTTCTCTTTTGTTTTGTTTTAATTTTTTGCCACTCCCACAGTATGGCCTTAGTAAAGCTTTTATACTCCAGGTCTTCCCTCTCGGGACAGGTCCCACATGTTTGTGGGGTCTCCCTGTGCTGCTATGGGGCCCTGCGTCTTTCTGATAGACTTCTGGACCCTCCCTGCAGAAACTTCTTTGGCTGTCCTCAGCCGTCTGCAGCATTCTTGACTCCCTGGACTGCGTGTCCCTCCAGAGCAGGGCCTGTGCCTCAAGCTACTCAGGAAAGGTCTTCCGGAGGCATGATATCCAGAGGGTGTGAACCTACTGGAGACCCAGAGCTTGGGGCCCCAAAGAAAGGACTCAGAAAAAGGCAAGTTCCTTCTTGAGCCCACAGGTTCCTGGAGCCTGGGAACCCGCCAGGCTCGGCAGGCACTTCTGACCCCAAGTATCCATCTGCAACCCCTTGTCAGAACTTGAAGAGTCTCAAGAATGAAGAACTACTGGGTCTTTTGCTTCTCCAGCTTAGGAAGATCAGACAATAAATAAAATTGCTGCTGCTCTCGGAAAACCAAGGAGGAGACCATGGAGGCTTTGAGCCCAAGGCCTGGGGAAAGAGGTGAGATGAAGGGTGTGGAGTGGGGGAGAATCTAAGCCAGGAGAGAAGAAGTCAGTTGGATGGGGAACTGCCCCAGGTGAGAAGAAACCAGCCTGTGAAGCAGCAGGCATTCCTGAGGTCCGGGCAGACAGCCCGTGAGCACAGGCCAGAGCCACCTCTTCTCACAGCTGCTCTCTCCCCCTGCAGCTCTTCCTTCTCACGCCTCAGCCCTTTCCCAGCATGAGGAAGACAAGACCAAGTTGCAGGTGGGTTGAGTTTTCTTTTCTTCCCAGAAATACTTTGGGCATCAGCGAGTACATGTGTCTCCAATTGTTGGTAAAAGGAAATAGAGGGAAAATGTATTGGGTGAATATATTACATTAGTCATTTCGTTTATCCACAGAATAGCTATGTGAGAGAGCTGGCATGGCCCTAGCTTAGAAGGGAAGAAATGAGTAGTGAATCCTGGATTTGAACCCGCGTCAGTGTGACTGTAATTTGCCTCTCCGCTCTACATGCTGCCTGTTGATAGTGGTTGAAGCACCTGAACCCAGATTCCGCAGAGAGGGTGACTTTCCAAATGACGAACCCTCCTTCCCTGCCTGGGTTTTTCTCCTCAGTGGATATTTCTCTTATTCATTTATAATGTCATATTTTCCATGTAATGTACCCTGCCATAGTACACCACGAACACAGTTAAAAGGCAGCATATTGGGCAGAAGAACATTTCATCTATGACAGAATTTTAACATGCTTATTTTTAAAAGAGGGGTTCAAGTGGGGACCTGAGCATTCTTTTCCAAAAAGGGAGAAAGGAAGAAACATAAATGGCCAGTGGTCAGACGAAAAGATGACCAGCCTCTGTTAGTCAAAGTGATACAGACTGAAACAAAGTATGATTCTTTTTCTATCAGATGGCCCCAAATTTGGAAGATTAGCACCCAGGGTTAGCCGGAGTGTGGAGAAATGGGTACAACCACACGGCTGCCGGGCAAGGCGGCCTCTCTGAAGGTTCTGTGTGCCTCCGCTCTGGTACTTCCCACTCCCAAGCATGTCCTCTAAGCCAGAGCACAGAGTTCAAAGAATGGTCACTGCAGCACTGTTCACAACAGGAAAAAAATAGTAATAAAAAGTAGTGGAGTAGTCCATCCGTTGGACTGATTTTAGATGGATGGATCATTATGGTTTCATTCCTTCTCTTGTTTAGATTCTATGCTGCTATTACATGAGATAAAGGAGATAAAAACACTAGGACATGGAAGGATGCTCTCTCAGTATACATGCATGTATGTTAACTTAATCTCATACATGCATGTATGTTAACTTAATTCGCCTTTAAGTTGAAAAAAAGCAATTACAGAATTCTAAGTACATGTTTTTTTACAGCATATGAGAGATTATTTTATCAAGCTTTCTCTTACAAAAAGACATTATGGGGAAAAAAAACTGAAGGTTTGAATCACTTTCCCCGTATGTTTTTATTTTAAATATTCTTGATGAACTTCCTGCTGTGAGGGCTGAAGAAATCAGCACTTTTTTACCTCCCACCGTCTCCTGGTATTATATGGTTATTACCAGTACTTTCCGATCTGTCATCATCAGTTCCCACCATTGAATTGTCTCAGTTCTGTGTGTATAAGTCATTGTCCACTACCTGCCCTCTTACCAGTTTCTTCATGCCCGACTTTATTTTGATTTATCTGTTGATTGGCTTAATTTCACACATACTTTGATTTTTTCCAGAGAAGATTAGTGGATGCTTTAGTGAATGAGTTTTTCTATCGTAAGACTGTCTGTTGCTGTTATGGTCAGATGACAAATTGCCTGGACTTAGAGTTCTTCACACTTTAAGAACTTTGTACAAGTTGCTTCATGTTTTGCTGGCATTAAGTCTTGTGCTGGTCTTTTTCTCATGGCTTCTCCATTCATCTTCTGGTGAGCGAAGTTTATTCTCATTTTTTCCAGAAAAATTGCTCTGTTGATACTTGGCAACAGCTTGGCTGAGTGTCACTTCCAAGGGTCACAGTTTTACTGCCCTTCCTGTGTGATCTTCTGACATTAATTAGTTCATTTTCTGCCTTGTTACTAACATTTTATTCATTTGGTCCTGCTGGAACTCCTACTGTAAATGGTCTGACTTCTAGATCTGTCTTCCCTGTTCTTAAACTTTTGTTCTCCTCTTTAAAATTTTCCACTGTATTCCAGGAAGCTGCTCTGTTTTCCAGTTCACTGGCCTCCTCTTTACTGATGTTCATTCTGCCATTTAATTCATTTGGTAGAATGGAGAAAAAGACCAGCACAAGTTCATCTCCTAAGGTGGTGGTTTGTTGTTGTTGTTGTTGTGTTGTTGTTTTTTTTTGAGAGAGCATCTCTCATATTTACTGATCAAATGGTTGTTGACAACAATAAAATTCTGTATAGGGGACTCAATGCACAATCATTAATCAACCCCATGCCTAATTCTCAACAGTTTCCAATCTTCTGAAGCATAACGAATAAGTTCTTACATGGTGAACAGTGCAAGGGCCGTCATATCACAGAAACTTTCAGTTTTGATCACGCATCAGGAACTATAAACAAGTCAGATATGATTATTCATTTGATTTTTATACTTGATTTATATGTGAATCCCACATTTCTCCCTTTATTATTATTATTATTATTATTATTTTAAATAAAATGCTGAAGTGGTAGGTAGATGCAAGATAAAGGTAGAAAACATAGTTTAGTGCTGTAAGAGGGCAAATGTAGATGATCAGATCTGTGCCTGTAGACTAAGTATTAATCCAAGCTAGACAAGGGCAACAAAACATCCATGGATGCAGAAGATTTCTCTCAAAATGGGGGGTGAGGTTCTAAGCCTCACNAGGCACGAATTCTACTAAAGGGTTGTAATTAGGAAGGAAGAAAAAAAGCTATAGAAGTAGCAGACGGAAGAAAACATGGGAAGATTGATTATTTCTTTGACATACCTTCTTGTAAAGTAACATAAGCATGTATAGGTTTTAACAAACTACTAATTAAATTACGTACACACATTAACAGAATAGGAGTACAGATACATAACAAAAGCAGACCTACAATTACCAGCCATATCCAGTGAAACCAAGAAAACCAGTTAGGTACCCTAGGTATTTGTGAAAACTTATCAATGATATGATGGATATTATCTAACTGAATTTGAATAGTTTGAGAAAAATCAGACAAAACAACACATTCCTGGGAACTGTTCACATCCCATATGTTCTTTTAACAGTAAATAGTCTATAGTCGCATGATTTTGGAGCACTGCAACTTGCAGTTCTCCTAATTCTTGGTTGAGTTCCAACAGTATAGATCCAGTCAAATTTGTTGTTTTACTGTATGCACAGGCCAGCTTAGATATCTCCTTCTTCATTCCAATGGCAAGTCCAGGAACCGGTGGGATGAATGCAGCTACAACTGCAACAGCGCCAGGATCTTTGTTGACGTTTTTTGATGATCATCTCCTGGAATGACTCTTCCAGAGAATGTTGATGTTGGAAGTTCTTCGTATCGTATCTTAGTTCGTTTTCTGGATAGCCAAATTAGGCTTTGATCCTCTGTATAAACACAAACAAACTCTTTGCCCACACTTTGATATGACCTTCACAATGATATACCATTGTGAAGAACCTACTGGATATCACCACACAGGAACTGCTTTTTTTAAGAGAAAGAAATATTATCAGAAAAATGTACTTCCATAGCTGATCATCTGACGGTGGTTTGTTGTTTTTAGCAATTACAGTAGCAATTTTTTTTTTACACTTGTAAGGATTCTGGTTACTTTTTTTCAAGCATGTTTTTCCCCTCCACAGAAGTCTAGTGCATGTAGCCGTGGAACACTGTGTGTTGAGACTTTCTCCTTAACTTCTTCAGAAGGTTGTGGTTCACCCCTTTTGAGATGTTCTCCTGCCTCATCCAACTTTTATCCACATAAAAGGGATACTGAGGGACTGCCACAGAGATGGTTTTGGGTTGTCCACCTTACTATCTCATAGTCTTAGGTCTCTGCAGCTTGGCCAGGTTAATAATACTAGCCTATATATATATATTTTATCCTAGCCTTCAAAATAAAAAAATTTAATACAAATCGGACAACACTGAGGTCCATAAGAAGACACTTAGGTGTCCCTTCCAATTCTCTCCTCCCTGATATGCTCAACATTAACCAGAAGATGTACACTGATCAACGTCTTTGTCATGTAAAAAATATATATAGGTAACCCCTTTTTATAAGCAAATGAAAACATATATGTTGTATATGTAGTCCATATATGAGTACTATATAATATATATTCAATTGCCAATTGCTAATGTTATATATAATGTATAACATTAGTTATCAGCATTACAAACAGTACAGTAACAAGTCTCCTTATATCCTGTTGCTATTATCTTTAAAATTCTATCATAGAGATTTCTAAATATTGCTGGGCCAAAAGGAATATAGTTCTTAAAAGAAGAAGTATATTATTGCTGTAGTATTTGACAAAAATCATAGCAGTCCATTGTTTCCCGACACCTTCAGCTTTAAGGATATGTCAGCACTAAACATTTTTGTTGACCTGCTGGAGGAGGATGTGTGGCAAAGGTCTCCCATTTAGTTTGCAGTTCCTGCCTAGGGGATGCTTATATAAGCCTCTTTTCACATAGCTGTTTGCTGTGCTTATATTTTCTCTGTGAATTGCTGGTGAGATGCTTGTGCCCATTTTTCATAAGTTAATTTATCATCACATTTTTAGGAGCTCTTTCAATACTAGTGTTATTTCCTCACATATCAAAGTCTCTCAATCTTCACTTTCTGAATAGTGAGTTACCTAGAAAGAAGTTTAAAATTTTGACATACTTAAATGATTTGTAAGTTCCTTTTGGAAAAGCTGGTTTCATTATCTGGCCACAAAGGGCCTTACCCATCCTAGGCTTAATCAAAATGGCACATAAATGATTATTTACATTAAACATTTTTAACCTCTAATATGACTAATTCATTTTGTAAATGGCATAAGCTTGACATTTAAATCTCTTCAGGGTGGATAGCCAATTATGATAATGCCATTTATTAAATTATTCATTTGCAAGTCAACTGTAATACTACAACTTGACATATTTACATAATTATGTGTCTGTGTGTGTGTATTTATGACATGTATATATATTGTATGAATGGAGAGAGAAAGAATGATTGATCTTCCCTATGATCTGACTGTTCCACATTCTGTACTCTGGTCCATTGAGTTGCTTGCACATCTCTCTGCAATGTTTTACTACTTATATTGAACATGTACTTTTGAAATTCAAAATTATAAACAAAAAGTGAATAATGTTACAATTAAAGGTCAGCCAAAACTTAGTTGTAATGTTCTCCAAACTGGGTCCCCTTTTTCATGGTAGATCTTGAACAGCTTTTGTCAGTTATTTGCATGGTCATCAGTCTATTCATGTTTCCTTGCATTTATTCATTCAGCCGGTAGTTGTTGAGCACCTGCTATGGGCCAAACATTATTCTAAGCACTGGCGATATATCAGAGAGCAAGACAGACAACATCCCTACCCCTGTAGGGCTGAAATTCTAGAAGGGGGAGACAGGTAGTACGTTACCTAAAAACAAGACAATTGCTGTCAAAGATTTTGAGGGACACAGGGTGAACCACAGTCATCCAAGCAAAGGTGGTGATGAGTCAGACCAGAGAGATGGAGGGAGAGGTGGGGAGACATGGATGGATTTGAAATGCATTTTGGAATAATAGCTGATAGACTTTTAAAAAATAATTAGATAGAGGAATGAGGAAGAGGGAAACATCAGGATGACGTTAGGGTAGATAGTACTGTTTGCCTCCGTGGAGTAGGAGAGAGCAATTTGGGAGGAAAGACTCAATTATAATTGGGCTTATTTGGGGTCATGATACCTTTTAGACATCCATGTGGCCATTGGATATGACAGCACACAGTGGAGAAGGTGTGTGGGGTAGATAGTAGATTTGGGAGTTAATGGCTGGTCCACTTGTGTTAAATTAATTGCCACATTGACCACCTCGAGCGCAAGCTTTCTGCCCTGCCACACCGCCTCTGGTTGGGTTTGACCTAGGAGTCTGCTGGGAAGCGTGCTCTGCTGGTGGTTCCGGTTCTCCACGGCGGGCACATGGGTTCCACTGGTCTCTGGCCCCTTGGCCTCACCTGAGCAGCACAGCAGAGTGGCCTCAGCATGTCAGTCAGGCTGGCCGAGTTCTTCCACTATTAGTAATAACTTTGCTGAGACAGCATTTTTCTTAACTGTGTAACAGGGATAGCAGCAGTAGCTGCCTTGTGAGTAGTTACTAATAATAGACCAATAGAGCATTTCCCATAGTTTTCACTTCCTGTGCGTTCTGTGAGAATTAAATGAGATGAATCATATAAAAATGCTAGCCTAGAGCCTGCCTTACAGTAAATTTGCCATAAATATCTATTATTTGCTTTATATCCTCACATTTTCTGATCCCCTGGTAACAAACATTACATGGCTTTTATAAGACAGTTGTTAAAGTGTGGTGGCTCTGGAACTAGACTCTGCGTTCAGGTTGTAGCTCTGTCTGTTACTAGCTGTGTGGCCTTGGCCAAGTTACTTCACTCCCTGGTTCTGGGGTCCTCAAGACTAACCCCGTATTTGGAGATCTGTCAGGACTCAGAGGGCTCCCAGTGTAGCTTTACTGATGCCTAAGATTTAGTACAGCAACGCACCTGGCTTCCTCTGGACTTCACCACACCTGCCTTTTCCCTTTGCTCCTTTTTTTTTTCCTTCAACCATAAGTTTTAGCCACAAGTGTGACTGTGAGTTGTGAGATTCCTTCTAGGGAGTCACAGCACTTGGAGGTGATCCTGGGGTCTGCCGGCACAAGCCCCAAGAAGGCCGAGTTGTGACTTTCTGGCTTATCTCTCTAGTGCTAGTTCCTGCTGCCCAATATTGTTTTGTAGGTGCTGAATATTTGGGGAATGAGTAATACATTGACATTCATGTGCTAAACCTTTCTGTGGCACCTTTCCATCCCTCCTATTAAAAATATATCCATGAGGTTTTTTTTTTTTTTAAGTGCAATACAGCTGAGATCACAACTCACTCTTACCTTGTAATACCTTGTCCCTGATATTCCATGGACAGGCTGAGGGGAAAAGCATTCTGAAAGCTCTCCTCTACCACCGTCTCCCTCTCAAGAAAGAGCATCACAGTCTACAGGAAGGCAGTGATGACAATATAGCTGATCACACATAAGTGCTTCACATTTTAGGAGCCATTGACGTTTGAGGACGTGGCTGTGATCTTCAGCGAGGAGGAGCTCCAGTTGCTGGACCCCGCCCAGAGGCAGCTGTACCGAGACGTGATGCTGGAGAACTTCTGGAACCTGGTCTCTCTAGGTAAGCAGAGCCTCTGGAGAAGTGACACTTAGCTACTGGTGTGTTCTTGTTCCCTGGAGAGACGATGTCCTTGGTCTTTGTACACAGGTTCAATCTTATTGTTACAAAGTGAGTTCATTTGGCCAGTCCCAAATCTTTTCTCTCTCTGTCCTTAAAAGGTGAACGTTTGGGATAAGGGCTATATTTTCTGATTATTTTTTACCCCTCAAAAGGAGCCTAACCCTTGCATTTTGGGGGCAACAACCTTTCAGGGCTGATGCAATAACCCATTTGCAACAAGACAAAGAGACTTGGGTGACAGCAAAACTCCAAGAGGTTCACATCCAGGTGAGAACCTAGAGTCCCTGCTGGTGCGAGGTGAGCTTGCCTCACAGAGGCCCCATTCTGCCCCCACATCTTGCCTGTGGAGGCCACCAGTCCTGTCGTGGCTGATGTTCCGCAGTCTCTTTACTACTGCCCAGTCCTACCTTCCCGTGGTTCCTTCATGCTTTTCAGGAGATGACATACCCAGAGTGAGTGAGGGTCTCTGGGCTTTCCTCCCTATGATAGAAACAGCCAGGTAGCCTAAGACAAGCCAGTGACAAACTATTCCAGGAGATTGAGAGTCTTCCAATGGATCTCTTCTTTAACTCCAGTATCGTCAAGCCCCAGTTAAAAACAGATTCATGTCACCTCTGCTCCTAAAGGTAAAAATAGCCAATAAAGAATATCAGAAAGCCTGGACAACTTTAAAATCATCTGGGACTATGTGGTAAATGTAACGATTTGATGACTGGCAATCAGTAATGAGGGAAGTTGAATGTTTTCATCTCTATGCCTCAGCACTGTCATCTGGATCCTATTTAATACACTTAACAGAAGGTAGGGACACAGCTGGTGCTCTTTGCTCTCTTCCCAAGTTCAACTCACATATGCTCAAAATGAGTTAATTCTGGGAGACAGCACTAGGTCCTGCTTTGCAACCAGATTTCCTCATTTGAATCCCAGCCACCGCTTCCTCACACCATAGTGCAGTAACTAACTAGGTTGCTTATTCTCCGTGTGCCTTGGTTTCCTGATCTATAAAATGAAGATAACAGTCGTTCCTACCTTATTGTTATTTTGAGAGTTAGTGAGTTAATGAGTGTATATCGTCGGCATGTCAGAAATGTTATAATGTTATTATTAGCAACAGGAGCATTATTAAGTTGAGAAGTGAATTTTTTCTGCAAAAATTTGTTTAGATTTTTTGCTTGACAACTGTATGATGAAACATAAGTTTGTTGGCTCAGGAGCATATTAACATTTCACTTCAGAGCTTATTAATCAGAGCCCCTGCCTTTTTTTTTTTCAGACACAAAAATAAGTACCCTGATATTAGGACACGTAAAGTGAAAGCCTAATATCTGTGCACCAGCCTTGTACTTATTCTCATCTCTGAACTGTCTTTCACCCTGTAGGAGACAAGAATGAAAAGAATATGGAGTATATTCAAGAAAGAGCATTAAAGTTCCTTTCATACAGAGAACTGTCCTACTTGAAAATCTGGGAACAAGTGACTGGTGAATTAGCTGGGAGTCTTGACCACAGAGTAAATCTTCAAGGGAAAGATTTCCAGTTCTCCAAAGATGCTCCTGTCTGTCAGGGGTTGGAAGGAACATATACTCAGGGTTCACATATTGGAATTTTGGTGGCCAGTCCTCAAGGGGATGGATCCGTCAATTTAGAAAATCAAGAATTTCCAACCTGGAGACCAGTCTCCATTCAAGAATCTTGGATGAAAGCCTTTGTGAATGAGCCCTGGAATGTTCGAGAAAGGTGTAAAAAACTTAACATGGAAGATATGATATATAAATGTGACAGGGATGATTATGGCTTCAGCTGGGTATCACATTGTCATGATGATCATAAATTACCTGAAAGAGAGAGACCATGTAGTTGTGATAAATGTAGAAAAGATTGCATTGCAAAGCAAATACGTCATTGCCCCAATCCCGAAGAGAATGGCTTTAAAACAAATGGTTGTGGAAATGGATTTAGGGAAGATTCAAACCTTCTCACTCATCCAAGAGTGCCCTTGAAGGAGAAACCCTATAAATTTCACGAGTTTGTTAAGGGCTTGAGGCAACCTGCCTATCTTGAGAGACATCAAAGAAGTCCCAGTGGAGAGAAATCCAGAAGCAATGAGCATAGTCAGGGCTTCAGGCAGAACACACGTAGGCACACCCGTCCCAGGGTCCATGCAGGAGAGACGCCCTACAGATGCGATGTCTGTGGGAAGGCATTCAGGTTTAAATCAGTCTTTCTCATTCATCAAGGAGTACACACGGGGAAGAAACCCTATACATGTGAGGAGTGTGGGAAGGCCTTTGGCCGAAGCTCAAACCTGCTTGTGCATCAGAGGGTCCACACTGGGGAGAAACCATATAAATGCTGTGAGTGTGGAAAGGGCTTCAGCTACAGCTCGGTGCTCCAAGTCCATCAGAGGCTGCACACAGGGGAGAAGCCCTACACGTGCACTGAGTGTGGCAAAGGGTTCTATGCCAGGTCCGCACTACATAAGCATCAGCACCTCCACCCAGGAGGGAAGCCCTATCGCTGTGTGGAGTGTGGGAAGGGCTTCAACTGTAGCTCCCATCTCAGCAGCCATCAGAAAACACACACAGAAGAGAAACCCTACCAGTGTGACAAGTGTGACAAAGGTTTCAGTTACAACTCGTACCTTCAAGCTCACCAGAGGGTTCACACGGGGCAGCGCCTCTATGTGTGTGATGTGTGCGGTAAGAGCTTCACTTACAGCTCGGGGCTTCTCAGGCATCAGAGGCTGCACACGGGAGAGAAGCCCTACAAATGCGAGTGTGGGAAGGGCTTTGGCCGAAGCTCAGATCTCCACATCCACCAGAGAGTCCACACGGGAGAGAAACCCTTCAAATGTGTGGAGTGTGGGAAGGGCTTCCGGCGGAATTCAGACCTTCACTGCCACCAGCGTGTCCACACAGGAGAGAGGCCCTTCGTGTGTGATGTGTGTGGAAAGGGCTTTATTTACAGCTCCGACCTCCTCATCCATCAGAGGACCCACACGGGAGAGAAGCCCTACAAATGTGCCGAGTGCGGCAAAGGCTTCCGTTACAGCTCAGTTCTTCGCATTCACGAGAGGGTCCACACTGGTGAGAAACCCTACAAGTGCAAAGAGTGTGGAAAAGGTTTTAGGTGCACTTCTAGTCTTTACAAACACCAGCGAATCCACATGGGAAAGAAGCCCTACACATGTGATCAGTGTGGCAAGGGATTCAATTATGGCTCAAATCTTCGCACCCACCAGAGACTGCACACAGGAGAGAAACCCTACAGATGTGAGGTGTGTGGGAAGGGCTTCAAGTACAGCTCAGGTCTCCTCAGCCATAAGACAGTCCACACTGGAGAGAGACCCTACAGATGTGAGGTGTGTGGGAAGGGCTACAATCAGAGGTCCTATCTTCAAGATCATCAGAGGGTCCACACTGGTGAGAGACCCTATAAATGTGATGAGTGTGGGAAGGACTTTGGTCGAATCTCCTGCCTTCACGTGCATCAGAGAGTCCACACCGGAGAGAAGCCGTACAAGTGTGAGGAGTGTGGGAAAGGCTTCAGTTACAGGGCAGGTCTTCGAAATCACCAGAGAGTGCATTTAAATGAGAAACCGTATGAGTAGGTGTGAGGTGACGCCTCCAGTTTGAACTCAGAACTTTCTATTCACTTGAGAGCCCATGCCGGAGGAGAACTTGACAAACATGGTACGTACAGGGGCTGCAGACGTTTTCCTAGCAGCGAGTCTGCACAGGAAAGGAAGGAGCTGGAAGTTTGGCAAATATGAAAGCAGTTGAATCACAAACTTCAGTCTTCGAGAGACTCTTGCACAGCGACTAGTCCTTAAAGAAGTGATGTAGCAGTGGCTTCAGTGACAGTTGTCACTTTCATCAGAGTAGGCCTAGGAGGGAGCTTTACAAATGTTTACAAGTAGAATGTATCAAAGGAGCAAATATTCTTTGTTGCAGGAGAAACATACAAATGGGACACATAGGGAAACAATTACCACATTGCTAAAAGTAATGCTATATGTACCTTTCAGAAAATGCTTCTTATAAAAATTGGAAGGTGATGTCATCACTGGTTGAAGCAAGTCCCTTTTAGAAGGCCTGGCAGTTGAAGGGAGAGTCTTCTTGGCAGGTCTGTGTAATGTGTCTCCATCATGTTTTTGTGATTGTGTTTTATCTCATAGAGGTAAACTGCTCTCAGAGATTGTGCTAAACTGCAGGAGTATTTCATTTAATCATGTTTTAAAAATCTGATTGGGCTTTTAATTGGCATTGAATGTATAGGTTAATTTAGAAATTTTGAAATGCTGATTTGTTTTCCATTTTGAAGTGTTTGTTTCCACTTAATGTATTTTAAAAGACTCCTCAGTAATATCTTTTAGAGATTAAAAAAATAGGTTCTGAACAGTCTGGAATTTGTTATTCATGAACATAATATGTTTACCCCATTTCATAAGCCATTGACATTTAAGACAAATACTAGAACATTTTTAAATATCAGAAATAACCATTGTAACCTGTCAGAATAGCAGTAGTAAAATAGAGTCACACAGCCACCATCAATGGAGAACTGTGTTAATGTGCATTCTTATGGACTTCTTGGTGGGAATGAAAATAGTCTTTTTTTTTTAAATTTGTCAGTGTATGAAATTCAATTTGTATAACCTTTGACGTGGCAATAAGTGTATAGTGATTTATACTTGGGAGCTAGTGGAATATACTTGCATGTGTGGAAAAAGATGTATGTGTATGACCCAGTTTCATAGCATGTTCTTATGATAGAAAAAAAAATACTAATACACCAAGTGTAATGCATGAAGGCACATGCGTACATGGGAAACCCACTAAAAATATTTGAGTGTACCTATAATGACTTTGAAGATTGCCCACAAACTAGGGAACCTGGAAAGTTATAGAACAACAATTACGAGTATGACCCATTTTCTTAATACGTGTTCATGGGTGTATGTTTTTAAAGAAAGAGAAGATGATGTGAGAAAAAGGTCAGTATCATAACTGCTTATCTCTAGCAGGTGGGATATGGGGTATATAAATACGTTCATGTACTTTTATGTATTTTACTTTTAAACAGAGTGTATATCAATTTTATAACAATAGTAAAGCTATTTTTTTTTTAATTAGCCTGGTAGAACAATCCCTGGTGGTCAGTGATCCATGCTATAGCTAACCTCTCTTATTTTCTTTGCCTTTCCCACTGTTTACTTAGCACCCAGTACCAAAGATATGATACGCAGGTGAAACTGAAATTTGTGATTTAGATACGTGATTTTTGCTGGCTGGTAGAAGACGGGGCAGTCAGGAGAGTTGGGAGGCGTCTTGGTGCTCCCATTCTGCGTGCTGGCCCTCTGGGACCAGCGCGCCCACAGGACTGGCCGTGTACCGAGATGGGTCCCCTCTCTCCTGACTTCTCCCTCTCCATGGGCGACTCAGGAGACCTGGGGCGTGGCCTGCGCTGAGCTCTTCCCTTGCTGTCTCGGGACTACTGGATGTGTCAGGGAGGTGGGGACAGGCCACTTTGTATCTAAATAAATAGTTAACACATCTAGGGGTCAGAAGCATCGTGTTGATATCAGAAAATCATTAGCTTTCAGAAGGGTGCTTGGGGAAATTAAAGTAGTTTATGGAACAGCAGTAGAGTCGCTCCAATGATAGGGTGGGTTTTCTAGCCAAACATAGACACCCTCCCTGCCCGTCAGACCTTCAGGGTTTGTGGTTGAAAAGTTCAACTCAGTGCATTTCCAAAGGTGGACAACAGATTCTTAAAGTTGTCCGTCTGGGCAGCATCTCCCACAGCATATTGGAGGTGGCTGTCAGGTGCTGACCGGGGCTGCAGTCATCTGCCTGCTGACCAGGGCTTAAAGGATCTGCTTCCAGGATGGCTTTGAGCAGGAGGCCTCGGTTTCTCAGAGGCTGTTGAAAAAGATCCTAGCTTCTCACCACCGTGGGTTTCTCTACAGGCCTTATCTGGGGGCCTGAAGGACGTGGCAACTGACTTCCCTCGAAGCAAGTGGTCAGAGAGGAGAGAGCAGGCAGGAAGCCACAGTGCCTTTTATGAGCCAGGCTCTGAAGTTGCCATTATGCTTTATTTTATTTGTTAGGATTCACTAAGTCTGAGAGGAGGGGCTTGGGCTCAAGGAGGGTAAGTCTGGTGGTCGTTTGTTAGGCAAATACCGATAGGTAACTAGAGCAGTAGAGGACAGGATCGTGCAGGGGTTTGTAGGTCCTGTAGGGAGTTCTTAAGCAAAGCAGTAATCTGGTTCCTAGTTTGAAGGGGAAGAAGTCACTGGCTAGTGTGTAGAGAATGGATTTTTGGAGGGACAGAACTAGAAACGTGGAGAACAATTAGGAGGGCATTACAGGGGAGAGAGGGCAGTGGCCACGGCCATAGGAGCAGGGGAGGTGGGGAGGAGTGGATCAGTTTGAGATAGACTTTTGAAGCCAAAGCAGAACTTTCTGTGAGATCTTGTCTTTTCCCAGTCACTTCAGTGATTGCTCCTATAGTTAGCAGTTAGTCACTCCCAAATAAAAGCGATAGAAGAGCTTTGGATGTTTTCTCTTCACAGCCATCTGGTGTTATAATCCGGGCATTCAGCATCTGATGACACACACTGTCTGCTGGCTAACTCTACAGAAGTCTACCTCACATCCAGGGCTAAAAACATATACCCTATTTCAAAGGAAAGTAGCTAGCTGTCTACTACAGACTGCTTCATTGAGAAACGGTGCAGGGTGGAGTTTCAGTAAGGTTCTCCTTGGCGTGGTACCCACTGGCCAGAAGAAGTCTCAGGTCTTAAATGTGTGGTGGCAGGTTGGGGCAAGGTGAACCAACTGCCGCAGAGGGCTGTTAACTGGACGGACCCCGTTCTCCGGGAAGTCATTCGCTCTGAAGAAGTGAATGAACTGATGGCACTATCTTGTGAACCCCAGAAATCACTACATCTTTGAGGCTGGTTAGGGGATGAGGGGGTGAAGAAGGGAGACTTCGCTCCCTGCTTCAAACTCCTGAGCTCTATCTCATGCACATCAAAAGACTCTTGAGGGACCAGGATATGATTCAAACTTTGTTAACTTTAAAAACGCAGGAGGCACAACAATTTAGTATTGTCTCATTTGTGCAAAGGAATGGTTATGTGCGTGTACACACACACAGTAGACCTGGGGACTTGGGATGGGAAAAGAGACATTTTCCATTGTATACTGTGATATAATCAGTCATAAGAAGTACATACTTGGTAGTTGATATGACCAAATATATATTTCCCAGGTGTATTTGGTCTTCATCCACAGACTCTGAAAACACTGCAGAGTCTTAAAGATGAAATGGGTGTTTTGTCATGTTAGGCAAAGACTTTTGGACCCCCTACCCAAGGGCAGGGGCTGGAAGTTGAGTCAACCAGTAATTTAGTTGGCCGTGACTTTGCAATGAAGCCCTCACAAAAACCCCTGAGAAATTCTCTATGCTTTGATCCTGCTTCTCAGTTGGGAAGAGCTTCTATGCTTGAGGAACCAGAACCACCTCCATGTGCCACGGAACCAGGTCCCAAGGTCCAGGAGGATAGAAGTTCCTTTAGTTGGGACTTTGCCCAATGTATCTCTTCATCTGGCTGTTAACTTGTATCCTTTATGGTGTCCTTTATTAAAATGGTAAAAGTAAGTGTTTCCTGAGTTCTGTGAGCAGCCCTAGCAAAGTAATCGAACCTAAAGGGGGGGCAGGTTGTGAGAATCTCCAATCTGTAGCAGATAGGTCAGAAGCACAGGTTAGCTGCGTGGGGCTTGTGACCTGCAGCTGGAGTGGGGGCCATGGAGGGCAGTCTTGTAGGACGGAGCCCTTAACCTGGGGAATCTAGTGCTGTCTCTGGGCAGAAAGCATCAGAATTGAGTTGAGTTCTCGGACACCCTGAGGTGTGTACAATACTGCCGTGTACAATACTAATGTTATGTATGTGTAGGAAAAGACATCGTATATACACAACACATTTGTAACTTGAAATTGAGAATATAATGTAGCAGGTAAAAGACTCCTTTTATATTATTAAAAAATTTTTCCATGCCCAAAAGTACATAGCCCTCAGGGTTGACACTGAGCTACTATTACAAAAGGCAACTGAGTCTGTTGGGATCATGACCTCATGGATTGTCAGGTGAGGGAAGTACCTCAGGAGTCCATCCAGCTGGTGCGTGCCAAGTTCATCAACCGCCAAAAGCCAGGATGTGATGGTAAGCAAATGGCCTCCCAAAGAACTTGAACCAAAGGAAGTCTATCTTAAACACATTGTTTTCCCAGATGCTGGCAAACTGAAAGTACCCTGTGGGACTGATTTTCTAAAAGCCTAAGTCCAGAAGATCAATAGATTCTACATTGATTCTAGGATGCCCAGGATCGGGGAAAACCCACAGCGGTCCAGACAGTGACAACACCAATGTGACAACAGTCCTGTCAGAGAGGCAAATAGATTTTCTCCCCATGGAAGTGCTAGAGACTGAAGAGTAGCTGGTCAGGCTGCATGTGAAGGGAGGTTACAGATAACATAGTACCTGGCAGTATCAGTCATGTTGCTCTAGGAGGGCACTTTCCAGTAGAGGTATAGTGCAAGAATGATAGAAGAGTGTAGTAAGCTGACCTGTACAAAATATCAAAAACTATCTTATGCCAGAAATAGTTAGGAAACAAAATGGGAAGAGATGCTATTTATAATAGCAGCAACAAAAATCCCTAAACATTCAACAAATCAAATTCCAGAAGGACAGAAATTTTTGTTTTGTTCACTATGTCCTCTACACTTAGAAGGGTGCCTAGCACATAGTAGGTGCTCAAAAATACATAACAACAGACAAAAATTCCTGCCTTCCTGGAGCTGAGTGAAGTCCTAGCAGAGAGGTAGGCAGTAAACAAAGTATTTAATTAAATGATGAAGTATTTTAGAAGGTGTTAAGTACAAGGGAGGAAAAGCGTGTAAGTGGGATAAGGCAGAAGGCGAAGTGCCAGTGAGACAGGGACCGTGGCAGCAAGGTGAGGGTCTCCGGAAAAATGCAAAGCAGGATAATTACAGTCAGAGCAATGTAACAATGTGCAAAGAAGTCCCTATTGACACTCCCTGTTAAGCATTACGCAGTCAGAATCACACTAATCTCTAGGGTAAAGATACCAAACTAATAATAGAGGCATTCTTCAGTGAAATCAGTTAAAGCTCAAAAGTCCAGGAGCAACTTGGCCTGGAATGTTTGAATGTTCCTCAGATGAAGAAAAATCATAGCCCATCACTTCATTGCATCAATTAGATCATGACATTGTAAACTTCACCTTAGCCTACTAAAAGGCCCAGCTATTTTTAACTGTACCTATATGCTGTGTTTCCTTCTCTAATCCTGATCAAGTAATCTGCAACCTGGGCAAAAGATTAATTTTGCAAGCAAGCCCAGCTATAAACAGCCCAAAAAGTTAAGAAGATTCTTAACACACTCTTTAGCAAACAGAAAATCCAGCACACCTTAGGGGCAGGGCAGGCAGTCTTGTCATGCTCCCAGAGGAAACTGAGAGAGAATCAGAGCAGCAAATTTCTTATGTTACTCATAAAAAATGAGCATTCTAGGACCACTTAACAAGTCTGTACTTGTTTACTTTACCACAATTCCTAAAAATTCTCAACAACCTATAAATCCCCTAGACAAAGCATGCACACACCCAGCTCTTGTCCCCTCCTGGCATGAGCCAGGAGTTCTGTCCTCACTTTAAATAAAAGCCTCTTCCTGGCTCTCCCACCTTGAGTGTTAGCGAAGTTCATTCTTTGACTCCACGAACAAGAACCGCGGTATCACAAGAAGCTGTTGCAATTTTAAACAGCAGAGCAGATTTCAAATGGCAGACCTCACTGAGGGTGACATTTGAGCAAATAATAAAGAAGCTGAGCAAACGGGCTATCTGGGCAAAGAACATCCCAGCAGAGGGGAACAGTGACCAGGTTTGAGAAACATCAGCCAGCGCAGTTGGACGGGGACTATTCCCATATTCCCCAATTCAAGACGGGAGTCCCTGTTATTTCTGCTGCTCCAGACAAGCAGAACAAGGCAATGTGAGGCTTCAAATGTAAAACATTCTCCAGAGAACTTTCAATAGAAACAAACGGTGAAAAAATATTTAAGTGAGTTTTAATTGAAAAATTGCATGTTTATAAGATTAAAGTATATGTCTACAGAGTAAGAACCTACAAGGATTTTCACTAAAATAGGGACAACTGCTCATCCAGGTGGTAAGATATTGAGTCTTCTCCCTCATGTTTATCACGGGTGGACAGTGATTGGATTTAATTATTACTGACATTTCACTGTTATTTTACCGCTGCTGTGACTGCTGTTATTACTTTAGATGACCGGATAGGGTCTAGGCGGCACCAGCTGCACCGCGGACCCTGGGCAACTTCGCGCTTGGCCGCCGCTGCCGCGCAGGGTCTTCTGGGGATCGTAGTCCACGGACTTCCTTGCGCATGCGCCGTGGTCCCGGGCGCGAGTTTTGGTTGACATTGGGATGCTGAGGTGAGCCTGGCTTGGACCGCGCCCCCTCGGAGCCGTAGTTGGGGACGAGGGTAGAAGGAGAGCAGCTGTGACTCAGCCCTGCGACTGGAGTAAGGGGGAGCTGGAAGCAGAGACCAGTGACCGATGAGAGGGCCTCCACCGCCGGGTGGAGAGGTGAGGGGCTTCGGCCCGGCCTGCTTGGGACGGGGTGAGGAGAGCTGGGGCTCGCTTTGGAGGTGTTGACTCTGGTAGTGCCTCTGCGGATATCGGAAAACGCCTGGGGCTGCGCATCCCCCGGTCGGGGGTGGTGTCAGTGTTGGGACGTGCATCTATCTCCAGAGCCAGGCGGCGACAGTGGACGTTGGCTCAGGTTTGGAGGATAATGGTTTGGGCTCAGCGTCCCTGACCACGTGGAGGGATTGGCGCGCCTTGGTCATCTCCGAGGGTGGGGGACGGCCTGGGCCCTTATTCCTCAATATGGCCCGTGAGCAACACTGGCTCAGCACCCCTGGGGCTTGACACTGAACCCTGAGCTTGGGATTTGGCAGCTCTGACTCCAGCGGGGCCTTCTTGACTTTAGGGCGGAGGGTCTGGCCTCAGACTGTACATCCCCTCTCTCTAGTAATAAGTCTGGCATATGTCTCTAAATACAGTCTGAAAAGAACTGCCCCAAATTATTAACTCCGTCTTCACCTTTCATGCTGTGAGCCAGGGAATGCAAACTTTGAGGTTTATAAGCCACACGGCAAATCATAAATTGTTAAATTTCAATCAACAAATTGGAAATTTGAACAGTGACTCTACATTTGATAAAATTAGAGAATTCATGTTATGTTAAGTGTGATATTAGCATTTTAAAACTTTTATAGCTTTTACAGCTAAATAATGAAGGATTTACAGATGAAATAATGTCAGGGATTTGCTTCAAAGTAATTTGTGAGTATGTGGGGTGCACACAGAGGTAATAGTTGAAGCAAGAGTGACCATCTGTTGATAATTTTTTCAGCTGCAGGTTTGGTAAGTGGGGGCTCATTATACTCTTCTGTCTACTTCTGTATGCGTTTGAATTTTTTATGGTGTATCTTTGAAATAATTTAAAGTTGACTACCTAGGGAGTGCTTGAGGCATGAAAAGGCTGGATTTTACTCTTAGTTGCACAGAGTATGTGGGGGCCAGACCTTGGGAATTCTCCCTCAGACCAGCCTCCTACACCCTGGATGTCACTGTGAGCTCAGAGGTACAGTCAAAGCTTCAGGCCTTTTCTCTAGTTTTCTTCCTTTCCTAATGAAATTGGAGTCTTTATTGTCTTTGGTCTCTTGTGTACAGGATAATTGTTTTTCCTTCTATCTCTGTGAATATAGGTGCGTGTTTCAACATCTCAAACGTAATATTTCCAAAACTGAGCTCCTGATTCTCCCCTACAAAACCTGCCCTTCCTATGGCCTTCCCCATCTCCAGAAATGGCAACTGCATCCTCCAGTTACTGAGACCAAAGCCTCCAGTCCTCTGTTTCTTTCCCACCCTACATGCAAGTGATCAGCAGATCCTGTTGACCATCTTCGATATAAATGCAGAACCTGAGGATTCCTCACTACCTCCATCTCTACCACCCTGTTCCAAGACGCTGTCATCCCTTGCTGGTAACCTCCTAACTGGTCTTCCTGCTCCCCCTCTTAACACTTAACACTCCCACTTAACAGCAAACAGAGTAATCCTGTCAATACCTTAGTTAGATCGTGTCACCCCTCTGTTCAGAATCCTCCTGGTTCTCCCATCGAATGAGAGTGACAACCAAAATCCTTTAAATGGACCGGAAGACTCTATGCCAGCTGGCTCCCATTTGCCTGTAAGTCATCTATTGCTCATTCCCTTGCTCACTCCACTTTAGCCACATGTCACACATGCTGCCACCTCAGGGTCTTTGCACTTGCTGTCCCCTCTGTCTGGAACACTCTTTGTACAGATACTCTCTCCCTCACTCTGATAGGTCTTTACTCACTTATCAGCTCAGTGAGACCTTCCCCTACCACCCTATTCCACTCCCCATGCCATTTCCCCCCATTTTTTCTCCATGGCACTTACACTGTGATATTTTCAGTGCTCAGATCACTACTTGGCACACAGTAAGCACTTAATAAATAAATACATGATGAAAGCGGAAATGCATTCCTGTCCTCTCTGAGCTCATAACCAAAGGCGGAAGATAACTAAGTGGCCACAGTGTAGTATTATCGTAGCAGTGCCAACTACACTAGGTACCTGCTATGGGCCAAATACTCGTGTCCCCTTAAAATTCACACACTGAAATCCTAATGCCCATTATGATGGTATTGAGAGGTAGGGTTTTGGAAGGTGATAAGGTCATGAGGATAGAGCCCTCACGAACGAGATTAATGCCCTTGTAAAATAGGCCTAAGAGCTCCCTTGCCCCTTCCACCAGGTGAGGACATAGCAAGAAGTCTGTGATCTGGAAGAGGGTCCTCACCTAATGATGCTGGCACCCTGACCGCAGACTGCCAGCCTCCAGGACTGTGAGAAATAAATTTCTGTTGTTCCTAAGCCACCCAGTCTGTGGTATGTTATTATAGCAGCTCAAACAGACCTTACACAGTACCCAGTGTAAGAGAGGTTATCTAGGAGGGCTTCCTGGGGCTCCAGAGGTTCAAGTGAGTGCGGGAGGGAGATCATTTTGAAAGCCAAGAGTCCATATCTTAGCTAACTGACAGGTGTTCAGATCACGGTCCTGGGACACAGGAGCAAGTCTTACCCATGAGAGCCTTAAGCACAAGAAGGCTCCCTGTCATCTGAGAGCAATGCCAGGTCAGCAGCGCTGGGGCTTCTCTTCTAGAGGTATTAGGATATGAGTGATGAATCCTATTATGGCTAAAGGTCACGCAGGTACCAGTAGTCATAGTTTCTCTTGAGTGGTGATCAGGGTGGAGAGTGTAAAGGATCCACTTATTAGCAGTAAGGATAATAGAATGATCGCTAATGTTACTTCGTATGAGATGGTTTGGGCTACTGCACATAGTGCCCCAATGAGGGCGTATTTAGAGTTGGACGCTCATAGTTTCTCTTGCCTGAGAAAAGGAAAAGAATGTAGCCGCTTCGACCCAAAAGCTCGAGGAGAGAGATGGCGGCTATGCGAGGGTCTGGGATGGGGCAGGGGGGAAGGTGAGGACGTGGGAGTTCGGTCTAAGGAGAGTGAGAAGAGATCTCGGGACAGAAGAACTTGTGGGAACATTTTACAGACAAGAAAGAACCGATATTCATTCACAACTTGTTAAATCCATGGCATCATGGATTCTTTCTTTGCAGTTCTTTCTCAGGACCCAGTTCTTTCCAAGAAGACAGTATGATCAAATTCGAGGTATGCTAGGGTCTCTTTTCTTTTGCTTAAGTGTCATGTCCATTCTGAGGAGCTGGACATCTTCACTTCCTGAAAGGACATCAGCCATGCTTGAGTCACAGCTGTGCGTCAGGCACCCTTCCTTGCCTATAGCTGTTGTGTGAGATGGGCAGTAGTCCGTGCTTTGTAGAAAGGGAGAAACAGGCTCAGAGATGTGAAGATGTCTAGTGCCGTGCTACTCCAAGTGTGGTTTGCAGAGAACTGCCTGTCACTGGCCCATGAGCGAGAAGTACAGAAATCAAGAGTACGAGTTCAGAGGCTCTTATAATGATCTGGTATCACATCACCACAGGGTCCCAGTGAATGTCAGTATGTCCATGACCACACAAGGGCCACAGAGGTCTAGTCCTTGTAAGAAGCAAGTTGTGAATGGTTATCATGGGTCAGGCAGCAGAGCAGACATGGTAGGAGATATATATTAAGAGATTTATTGTAAGGAATTGGCTTAGGTGATTATGGGGACCGGGCAAGTCAGAAATCTAGGGGGCAGGCTGGAACTCTTGGACACAGACTGAAGCTGCTGTCTACAGGTGAAGGTTCTTCTACCCCCAGGAAAGCTTCAAGCCTCTTACGACCTTCAACTGATTGAATCAGGCCCACTCCGATTACCTAGAATAACCACCTTTAAAGGCAATTGGTATGGATTTTAATCACATCTCCAAAATATCTTCACAGCAACACCTGGATTAGTGTTTGCTTCAATGACAAGAAACCACATCCCAGCCAAGCTGATATATCAAAAGGACCATTATGGGTAGAACAAGGATTTTTTAAATCATGAAAAACATTTTAATTATCAAAATACATAAAAAAGAGAAAATGGCACTGCAGGTCTCTTATGTACAGTACCCATTGTGAAGAGCCACCCTGGCTTAATCTATCTCTTTTTCGCTTTGTTTTTTTGTTTGCCAAATCTTTTCAAAGAAGGTCCTGGACAGTGTGTTATTTCATGCAGTGTTGGGTTTTTTCTGAGCTCATTACTCCCTTGCAGTACCTTAGATGCAGCTCAAATAAATGAGCTCACAGTTTCAGCCTTCCGCCTGGACACCGTCTTCCTGAATTCACAAATTCCCACTAGGTACATTTCCTATCTTCTAAATGACTGCTAGCAACTGTTTCACCACTGTATCACCCAACCTAACCATTTTTCAGCCTCCCATAACAGTTGCCTCAACTCTCGGTTTGGCCCCAAAGCCAGTGCTGTAGGTATTTTGGTAACATTGTGCTTGGCGGCTGTTTTTGTATGGTTAGCTTGGATGTGTTGGGCAATGGCAGAAGGGCAAGAAAGAAAGCAGAAACAGGCAGGACTTCTTAAGGCCTAGACTTAGAACTGGACCAGCTCAGGTGGCCAGATCCAATCAGGGGGCAAGGAAGTATACTCTGGTCCCTTAGTGGAATTGGGGAGCATGAGAGACTGTTTTTTGAAGAGTCATCTCGTTTACAACACACCCCTATGTATTTCAGTGTGTATTTCAAGGAAAAAAATGACGGAGATTATCTATCATCTAATTCCTGAGCAGTAATCAAATTTCCCTGATTTCCTAGAAAACGCTTTTGGTGTCATTCAGTGTATTTCTCTGTGCACAATACTTCCTGTAAGTGGAGGCACTTAGTACTGGAATAAACTCAAGTTCAAGATTTTACAAGACTATTTCATAGGTGGTGCTGTGTGTGGAGGAAAAGATGGTAAGATCTTTGACTACAGACGTCCCCGTACCTGCATAGGATCGCGGGAAGGGATGCACCTAGTTCAACAGTGGTGGGGATGTGGGTGTTTTGTCTTCCCAGACTCTGTAGTTGAGGCCAGAAGGGAGAAAGGGGGGCAGGCGGGGTGAGCCTCCATTTCTAACCCCTCCTCCTACAGTGTCTGTCCCACTTGGTCGCTGGGTGTCTGTATTTCCTGGCTCACTAGCTCCAGCTCCTTTTCATTGCCCCTCACAGCGGAAAGCACAGCAGTGCTAGTGAGAATGGTGCCCTCGTAAGAACAGTACTGACTCCTGTCTTAGTCTCTTTGGGCTGCCATAAATAATACCATGGACTGGGTGGCTTGTGAACAACAGAAATGTATTGTGCACAATTCTGGAGTCCGGGAAGCCCAAGGTTAAAGAGCTGGCAGATGTGTTTGGTGAGGGCCTACTTCTGTCTTCTTGCTGTGTCCTGCATGCGGGAAGGGGTGAGGGAGCTCTCCGGGGCCTCTTTTATAAGGGCACCCGCCAATCCCATTCACGAGGCTCCACCCACACGACCTAATCATGGCTTCACTTCCTAAAACTATCACCCTGGAGGTTAAGATTTCAACATACGAATTTTTTGGGGACCCAAGCAGGCAGTCCATATAGCCCCTGTAGTTTCTATTTTTACTGTCAGGCTTTGGTAATTATAACAATTACTAGTAACTGTTCTTGTGAAATACATTATAACCATCGCAGCTTGCCATGGAACCATGCTGCAGGTGCAGTGTCCTGAGAGAATGCATCTGTGAGCATGTACCGGAGCAGTGTGATGAATGAAGTTGGTAGTATTTCATTTCAAAATTGTTTTCTTGGTCAGGGGGTGACTAGTAATACTTAATTATCTTCCCCCTTAACTTTTTTGAGAATTTTAAATTTATGGGCAATTGAAAGAACAGTATAATATATAATCTTCACCTAAATTCACAGTTGTTTACAATTGCACACAAATATGCACATAATATACATATATACACACATACCTATATTTCATTTTACTGACCCAGTTGAGAGTAAATTGCAGGCTTAAGTATTCATCTGTAAATAGGCATGTATCTCCTAAGAATAAGGGCATTTTTCTTGATTTCCACTTTACTGTTATCATACTCAAGAAATGTCACATTGAAGTTAGTTGATATCCAAATGCCCGAACTGTCCCAATGATTTCCCTTCCCCCCCTTTAAAAAAAATCCAGGAGCCAATGCTTTTAGTTGCCTTATCTGTTTAGTCTATTAAGAACTATATTAATCTACCATGAACAAGAAAGTAAAATACCAAGTCTTGGTATATGATGGGGAGTGAACACCCAGATACTGTTAGGCCTCTTTGAGTACAGTTTGGACAGTATCAGTCAAAGCATAAAACATACATACCCAAGTAATTCAGTAGTCCCTGGCCTAGGAATTTATTTTGTAGAAACACTTCTAAGCACTCAAAGACAGATGTTCCTAGATTGTGGTTTATTGTAACATTCTTTACATGACCATACATGGTTAACAAAGTGGTACAGGTATTCAGAGAAAAGAAGAGAAGCTTGGCCCACTCAAAACTTTGAATTTCCTCTGTGCTTCTCATTTCTTTCATATTGGTGAGGGTCCTTTCAGGAGTCGAAAACAACAATGTCTGTTCGAACAGAGAGAATTTAATGGAATTGTGAACTAGGTATCAAGTTGTTAAGTAGGTAACTGATGAAGAGAGCAGACATGGAAGTAGCAACTACAGGAAGTAACTCTCAACCTGGCTGAGGGACAAAGGGGAGAGACTGAATTATTGGAAATTAGAAATTAGAGGAAGGGCCTTGTGGAGCTGAAACTCAGAACTGAGAAGGGCGTTGGGCTGGTGTCTCTTAGCTCAGAGACGAAGCTCTGGTGGAGGACCTAGACTCCCGATGAGGGGGCACTGGCCGGCTGGGGGCTGGCGTCTGTGAGGTGGGGCACAATGAAGCTGGTCCTGTGAGTGTTAGTAAAGCTGCGATGTGGATCCGACCACGGCTACGGAAAGGGCTGCAGCCACAGGGTAACAGTGTTAGGGGCGTGATGCAGGAACGACGCAAACAGCCTGGCACAAGTCCCTTCTTCCGTCCGAGCCTTACAGACTCTCTCTCTAGCGCCCCCTCGTGTCAGAGCCTAACATAGAGCCAGTTGTCAAATTCCAAGCGAGATTTGCAGAGTCCCAGCTCCAGCATTATAAAGTGTAGGCTACAAGCGAGAGTTTGGAGGTAGCCGGAAGGCCACAACTTAATGACTGAAACAGCTTCCAGCTGTGCTCTTCTGCCAGTGGCCATTTGGGTGGATGATCGAGATGGCATGCTTGATGTTTTAGGAAACTGTGACCCTCACGGACGTGGCTGTGGCCCTCACCAAGGAGGAGGTGGCACTACTGGACAAGGCCCAGATAAACCTGTACCGAGACGTGATGCTGGAGAACGTTAGGAACTTTATCTCAGTGGGTGAGGACGACAACCCTCCTCAAACCACTGGTTCTGTTTCTTCAAATGATCCGCTTCAAACCAGATAGAATATTCCAGCTGGACCACAAAGGTCACTTGAGAGAAAACCTTAGAAACGCATGTGCAGATGAGAACCCTGAAGCTAGTGAGTGAACAGATAAAGGAGAGTGGGCAGCTCCCTGTGAAGTGCCGGTGAGGGGGCTCTCCTCAAATCCTGCACCTCCTGGCCTGCGGGCATCTGATGCGTTAGCAAGCCCACCCTGACCTCCTCACATGTCTGGGCGCTCATATTTCCTCATATTTCTGTAAGTGAGATTGATAAAATTCCTACACTCCCACGGGCCTTGGTCCCTCGGTTGCTTCTGGAGACAAACCAATGTTTTGGACAAACTAGTGTTTAGGAAGCAAACCAGGATCTGGCCTGTAGTAAGTGTAATGTAAGTGTCAGCATATTTGCTTACTTGTTGATAAATGTCTCTAATTTCAATTTTTCAAAGAGGCCCATATACAGATGTATATAATCTCAGTTTATGAGATAGTTGCTATTGATGTCCCTTTTTTACAAAGGAAACAATCGAGACAGAGAATGTATAAGTAACTTGCCTGCAATCACATAATGTATAAGAACTAGGATTTCAACCCTGCCAATCTGGCTCTAGACCCTGTGTTTTTAATAACCATGTGAAACTAAGTACCACTATGCCTATAGACTATAGACATAGGGCTAATCAGCAGGATGTGCCCCCCATTGTTGTGTAGTGAGGTCAAGTTACTATGTCATAGCCAGCGGTTTTTAAGAAGCAAAATAGACTAATGCACTAGAACAGAAAAGAATTTATCAGAGTATATTGCATCTAGTAAGGTAAGTATCAACTGGTAAAACTATTTTGGTTAATAGTCTGTGTCTATTTTTGTGTACTGGATGGCAGTGTAGATGCTTTTTATACTGTGGGTACAGTCAGAACATAGGAAACCACTGCTTGAGCCTGCTGTGGGTAGCTCAAAGTCACCCTTTCCCTGACACCACCTTACAAATTAAGGTCTCAATAAAATCACTCAGAAGCTACCTTGAACCAGAAGCTGTATCCAGATGGTCTTGACCATGGCACTCAAGCCCATTTTAGGTGCCAAGGGTGTGACCACCCTCTTCTGCCTCAACCCCCTACTGGTTATTGCTTAGTACCTGCCATTTAGTGCTTGCTTCCCTGGGAGCCAGGTCTGGACAGTTCCACATTACTCATTCTCACAGTCATGGCTGTTTGAGATTCTGCAATAACCTAAAGAGGATCAGTTGAGGAAATGGATAACAGGATCTCAGTGGACTTTATCTCTTCATGGAAGCCAGAGAACCTCAGGGAAGATAAAAAGGATGTCTCTGCAACGAATTTGACCGGATCTGTACTGTTGGAACTCAACCAGGAGTTGGGAGGGGTGCAAGGTGTAGCACTCCAAAATCTTATGACTATAGACTATCTATGGTTAAAAGAATATATGGGATGTGAACAGATCCCAGAAATGGGCTGCTTTAATTTGTCTGATGGTTCAAGTACAGTTGGACAATATCCATCATATCATAGATAAATTTTCACAAATGCCTAGGGTGCCTAAATGGTTTTCTTGGCTTCACTGGAGATGGCTGGTAATTATAGATTTGCTTTGTTTATGTCACCGTATTCCTATTATGTTAATATGTGTGTGCAAATTAGTTAGTAGTTTAAAACCTATACATACTTAAGGTACTATACAAGAAGATATGTCAAAGAAATAATCAATCCTCCCAAGTTTCCTTCATATGCTACATCTATAGCTTTTCTTCTTCCTTCCTAATTACAACCCTTAAATAGAATTCGTGCCTCATATCGAATTTACCGAGTATCATAATTCCTCCAGGTGGTAAAGATACCTCGAGACAAGTGCTGGGCATAGAAGCCACAGGGCATAAATCTGCAAAGAAGTAAAAAGCTAACCTTTGCAAACAATATGGCTTCTCTCTCACTTACCAACTTTACATTTCCCTGTATGGCCCCGGAAGATGACTGGTTAGCCAGAGACGGGTAAGATTCCTCAAGGGAGGAACAACCTAAGACAGGCACAGTCGCAGGGGGGCCATCAGGTGAGAATTTGGGGATCAACAGAGGTGAGGCTCAGAACCTCACCCCCCCTGCTTTGAGAGAAATCTTCTGCATCCGTGGATGTCTTGCTGCCCTTGTCTAGCCTGGATTAATACTTAGTCCATAGGCACACACCTGATCATCTGATCATCTACATTTGCCCTCTTACAGCACTAAACTATGTTTTCTACCTTTATCTTGCATCTACCTACCACTTCAGCATTTTATTAAAAATAAAAATAATAATAATAATAGGAGAAATGTGGGATCAACATATAAATCAAGTACAAAAATCAAACGAATATTCATATTTGACCTGATTGTTTATAGGTCATAATGCGTGATCAAAACCGAAAGTTTCTATGAATGCCCTTGTACTGTTCACCATGTAAGAATTTATTCACTATGTAAGAATTCATTCACCATGTAAGAACTTGTTCGTTATGCTTCAGAAGATTGGAGACTGACGAGAATTAGACTTGAGATGGATTAATGTTTGTACATTGAGCATTGACCCCCCTATACTGAATTTTATTGTTGTTAACAACCATTTGATGAATAAATATGAGAGATGCCCTTTAAAAAAAAAAAAGGATGTCTCTGTAAACCTGTCTCAAAGGTGTACATGTTCTTCCCTGTCCCAACCCCAAGACCATATTTTACAATATTATCCCCATTTCAATCTCCATTGCCCACTGTGTACAGTTGTTCAGGTTGTACACAAATATACATGATAATCCTATGCCATTATAACAGCTGTGAAGGGAGGGAGGTACTCAGGAGAAAGGACCTGTTGCTTGATTCTGCAATCTTGTCTGTATCTTGGAATATCTTTGTGATCGTTTGTGTCTCTCACTATGCCCAGCACTCTCCATTATTCTGTTATATAGCAAAATGATTAAAGGCTTTTTATCAACTACTCTTATAGCAGGGAGGTGAGTTTCTTCTCTTATAAATTGTTTCCAAGATTTCTTTTGATTTTCCTGCAACACCTGATCTTTAATTGGCAGCTCCAAGATTAGAATTACTATGATTCTGATTGTTTCATATATGAATAGAAGCCGGTGACAAGTTCCCACCCCATTCTACTTCGTTTTCTCAAAACCTCTGGATAGATGATTTACTTATTCTCTTAGCCAAATTCTCTTTCTCCTCATAGGAGGCAGGATTAAAAACAACATTTCAAAATCTTCAGGAAAAAGGATCGGGTCACCTCTCCCAGGAGGTGCTCTACCTTTGGCAGATTTGGAAACAAAGTATCAGTGAATTAACTGTGAGTCGGGATTATGTCCTGAATCTTCAAGGAGATCGCTCCCAATATTTAGAAGATGTTTCCCTCTGTGGAGAGTGGGCAGGAATGTCTCTTCTGGTTTCTGGAAATGAAAACTATATAATAAATGACATTAATTCAGAAAATCAAGGTGGCTTAGCTTGGAAAGGCCTTGCGCATGTCCTTACCCCAGAATCTTGGAGGCAAGTCGACATAATGGCCGAACCCCAGAATTCTCAAGGAAGATGTAAGAGCATTCATGTGGAAGAGAAATTGTATGGATGTACTTGGTATAATGACAGCCTCAGTCAGACCTCATGTGATCGTGAGGACCCCCACGAAGTTAAGGAGGGAACCTTACAGGTACTTTGACTGTGGGGAGAACTTCGTTCCGAAAGTCATAGTCAGACAATGTAATGTGGTCCATTCAGTACCACAACCTTCCAAATGCAGTAACTATGGAACGGGCTTCATAGATGACACGAATCCTCGTGTCCATCACAGCGCTTATGTAGGAGATAAATCTCATACATGTGACCAGTGTGGAAAGAACTTTAGTCAGAGCTCAGATCTTACTGCTCATTGTAAAAGTCATTCAGGTGAGAAACCTTACGAATGCCAAGAGCGGGCTAAGTGCTGCAAACAGAGCTCGGGCTTTGCCAGATACCAGAAAGGCCTCCCAGGAGACAAACCCTATAAACGTATTGAGAGCAGCAAGGGCTTTAGGCGCAACTCCTCTCTTCACCACCACCATCACTTCCGCACAGGGGAAACGCCCTACAAATGCGATGTGTGTGGGAAGGGGTTCAGATTCAGGTCACTTCTTTGTATTCATCAGGGAGTGCACACGGAGGAAAAGCCCTATAAATGTGAAGAGTGGAGGAAGTGCTTTGATCAGAGCTCCAGTCTTCTTGTCCATCAGAGAGTCCACATTGGAGGGAAACCCTACAAATGCAATGTGTGGCAAATGCTTCAGTTCAAGCTCTATTCTTCAAGTCCACCAGAGGCTGCACACAGGGGAAAAGCCTTATAGGTGTGCTGAGTGTGGAAAGGGCTTGAGCCAAAGCACACACCTTCATATTCACCATCGAGTCCACACAGGGGAGAAACCCTACAAGTGCCCTGTGTGTGGAAAGGCTTTTTGCATACAGTTCAGGTCTTCACACCTATCAGAGAGTTCACACAGGAGAAAAACCTTATAAATGCAAAGTGTGAGGTAAGGGCTTCAGCTACAGCTCCTATTTTCACTTATGTCAAAGAGATCATACCAGAGAGAAGCCATGTAAGTGTGACGAGTGTGGTAAGGGCTTCAGTCGGAATTCAGATCTTCATATTCCTAAGAAAACAACATTATAATCCAGAGTTTGAAACTTAAATTTTGAAGGGTTAGTGTGGCAAGTCAGGGGGTGGATTGGGCTTCTTCAGTGAGAATCTTCATTGAGAGTCCACCCAGGAGAGAGGCCCTGTAAGTGTAGAGAATGTGGTCGGAGCTTCAGTTGTAACTCGTATCTTCTCACTCATCAGAGAGCACATACAGATGAAATGCAACATACGTGTCATGAGCATGGCAAGGGTTTCAGTTCTAGCTCAGACCTTACTCATCAAAGACTGTACAAGAGGACAGAAACATTATAAATGTAGTAAATCAGGGTTCAGCAAGAAAAGAGGCCAATGTGTGTATTGCAGGTGATAGAGGCTGACTCAGCCACTGGGAGGGCTGGGCCAGCAAAGGACAAGGACACTGCCCCCGATGATGGCAGCCTGCAGCACTGAAGCAGGTGGTTCTTAAGAGCATTCCAGGACACTGCTGTGGATCTCAAGAACTTCCGCACAGTCCCCATCAGCTGTCACTCCAGTGGCAAAGTAAGTGCTTCTTGACAAATGGACGCTTTCTGGCAATAACAATAGTTAAGAGGTCAAATTTCCATTCATGGTGTGCCCAGAAAGGAAATTACAATTGAGGTGAGTACAAGGACTTCGGTGCAGCCAAAATCTTTAGATTATTTTAAAGAGTACCTACTGGAAAGGTACTCCCCGTATAAAGAACATTCAAGAGTGCTCAGGAATGAAACTTGTTGTTAGTGTAGTAAGAATATTAGTCCACACTCAGGTTCTTAAATCCATTAGATTCTCTACACAGGGAGAAGCTCTATGGAAGTGATATTTTATGGGAATGTGCTATGTGTTCATCACACTCGTTCCATTTCCTGGGCACACAGGGAAACTCCATTTCCCAGCAACCCTTGCAGTTAAGAAGGGGCTCTTGTATTGAGTTCCAACCAGTGGAGCGAGGGCCAAAGTGATAGAAGCTACTTGCAGACCTGGCCCTTACATACATCTTGTGATGTCCTCCAGGCTTCTCTTTCCTGTCACGGTGATCTTGGACGCGGTTCCAGACTGGACTGGTGGAAGGCGGCTATCTGACGTGTGTTGCACTTTTTTTTTTTTTAGCAAGAAATAAACATCTGTTGTGTTATACGACTAATATTTTGGCAGCTTATTAGTTGCTAGCATTGCCTAGCTATCCAGACTGGTAGAGGGATTTAACAGCAACATATTTCATGGTCATTGAAGTCCACCTAAGGAAACAACATTCTAATCCAGAGTTTGAAACTTAAATCTTGAAGGCTCAATGTGGCAAGTCAGGGCATTGATTAGGCTTCTTCAGTGAGAATCTTCATTCATTTCTGTAAAAGAGAAATGCTCCAGATGACGTGCATGTGGTGAAGCTTTACCAAGGGTGCAGCCTGTAGATGTGGGAAAGCCCAAGCAGTAGAGAAACTCTAATATGTCATGGCAGAAAAAGGTTGTCAGCTCACACCTTAAATGCATTAAAAAATTAACTAGAATAGGTGTTCTGCAAATAGTCTCAATAAAATTAAATAGAACTAACATTTACTGAAGTGAACAACAATTTAGAGAAGGCCAAGAGTGTTCGTAGTGTGAAGCAGGCAGCACCACTGCTTCTCAACACTCTTGTCTGATAATGGGTTTTTAGAAGGTGCACATTTTATCAAGTTCCTTCCAAAACTGTCATTTAGTTTAGGATTATAGGTGGATTTAGGAGGAGGAGATATATTCACATCTTCCTACATCTTCAATAACGATTATGGTCTTTTTTTGTATCTTAGTTGATGTATAGGTTTCTTCATTTGGATCACCTTTTATTCCTAGTTTTTCTTACAATTTTCTACTAGTTATGGCTTGTATATGAAACAGCCATTCAAATGCAAATAAAACCATCCCTAATGTGTCACTTTCTTACTGATCCAGGTGAGCAACAGTGAGAAATTAACAAAACTCAATGTCAGTAAGAAATGGAAAAATCAACATTTTTACATAAATTGGTGGGGAAAAAAGTACATTTCTAGAGAGGATTTTGTCTATATGTATCAAAGTGTATAATGTGCATTGTCTTTGAACCAGTCATCCCACTTCTCAGAATTTATATGTAGGGTGTAATCACACAAATGTGAAAGTATGGTTTCAGAAGGGAACATGTTTCAAGAAAATTTACAGTAATAAAAATTGCAAACAACTTAAAGATCCTTGAGTAAGAGATTGAGTAAATTGTGGTGTACCTAATAATGGAATAAAATAGCACCATTAAAAATTATCTGGATATATAAAATTTTCCACACGATTGCTTGGAGAAAAAAAAATCAAGTTGCAAAAGATCATTATAATATGGTTCCTGACTAATATGCTAGACTTTTAGAGGACAGAGTAGCCCTGGGAACCATCCCCCACCACCATCTACATTTTACTTCTCAGTGTTGTTTCAAGGATGGATTGGAGTATTGAACCCAGATGAGAGTATGCATAAAGTAGGAAATGATTTCCCAAAGTCATTTCCCCTTCTCCATATTCAGGTGCTTGAGGTAACAATTTTGTCATCATACATTCACCAACTCTTATATAACATTTTTCCATAATGAGTTATGAATAGAGTTCATGGCAGAGAGGGTAGGTTGTTTGGAGAAAGCAAGTAACGGTGGAAAATTGTGAGGCTTTGCTTTAGGAAGAGGCTCCCTTTTCTCAGGACAGAGATCAGCCCACAGCCTTGGTGCGGGTGTCACAGATACTTTTGTGACAATACTCCTATTTGGCCAGGAGAAGTCCTTCATATCACATTTAGCTTTCTTTCCCTTTCCTTTTTATTTTCATTCTTTTTAGTTTGACTGAGGTATAATTGATCTAAAAAACATGCACATATTGAATGTATACAGTTGGATGAGTTTGGACATGTGCATACAGCTGTGAAACCATCACAACAATCAAGGTAGACATATCTGTGACCTCCAAACATTTAATTCCATCCCTTTGTTTTTATTGTTATTATTATTATTATTATTATTTGTGGTAAGAACACTTAATGTGAGATCGACCCTTTTAGCAATTTTTCAAGTGTATAATACACTATTGTTGACTTTAGACACTGTCCTGTACAGCAGATCTCTAGAAATAATTTACCTTGAATAACTGAGACTTTGTATCAGCTGAAGAACAACTCCCCATTTTCCCCTGCCCTTGGCCCCCGGTTACCACCATTCTATTTTCTGCTCTTATGAATTTGACAATTTTAGGTACCTCACTTAAGTAGGGTCATGCAGTATCTGTCTGTTACTGGCTTATTTCACTTAGCATAATATCTTCCATATGCAAAAGAATGAAATTTGACCCCTATCTTATACCACGCAACAAAAGTAAACTCAAAATGGATCGAAGACCTAAATATTAAGGCCTGAAACTGTAAAACTCCTAGAAGAAAACATAGAGGAAAAACTTTACTTTCATCTTGGCTACGATTTCTTGGATATGGCAACAAAATCACCAACAAAAGTGAAAGTAGGCAAGTAGGACCACATCAAACTACAAAGCTTCTGCACAGCAAAGGAAACAGTCAACAGAATGAAAGCAACCTATGGATTGAGAGAAAACATATACAAAACATATATCTGATGAGAGGTTAATATATGACATGTATTAGGAACCCCTGCAGTTCAATAGCAAAAACAAACACAACAACCTGATTTTTAAATGGGCAAAGGACTTGAACAGACACTTCTCCAAAGAAGATGTACAAATGCTCAACAAGTATATGAAAAGATGTTCAAGATCACTAATGTCGGCGAATACAAATCAAAACCACAATGAGATAACATCTCACACCAGTTAGGATGGCTATTCTTCAAAAAAGAAATGAAACAAAGACAAAAGATCACAAGTATTGGAAAGGGTGTGGAGAAATTGGGCTCTGCTACACTGCTGGTGGAAATGTAAAATGGTGCAGCCTCAATGGAAACAGTATGGAGGTTCTTCAAAAAATAAAAAATGCAAGTACCATATGATCTCATTTCTGGGTATATATCCCCAAAGATCTGAAATCAGGATGAAATATCTGCCCTCCTATGTTCATTGCAGCACTATTTCCAATAGCTGCAATGTCCATTGACAAATACATGGATAAAGAAAATGTACAATATACAATCGAATATTACTCATCCTTAAAAGGAAGGAAAATTCTGCCCTTTGCACATTTAACCTTTAGAATGTGTCATTCTGAAAGAAAGTGACATCAGCAAGATGGTGCCCAGGAGTTTTCTACCATCATCCCTCATAAAACATCGATTTTGACAATCACCCACAAAGAAGAGTACTTTTGTGGAAGTCCAGGAATCCAGTAAAGTTACAGCACTTTTGGAGAAAACATAGACACATTGAACAGGGTAAGAACAGTTTTGCTTTACTCATATCACCCCTCCCCACAAGGCAGCACAGCTTAGTGGCAAGAGAAATCCCCTTGCCAGTGACTCTCCCATGGGGGAAACTGAGAGGTTATCAGTGAGCTTCCCAAGCTGTGTGGGATGCTGCCCAGGAGGCCCACCTCTTTCTCTCTTTACCAGGACACTGAGGTGATCCAGGTGAAGAGGAGATTGGGAGAGTCTGGGAGCACAGCAACCAAGGCTAAGAACCCATCAAAAAAATGCTACAAGCCACCTTACAGCTCATCCCACTAACCACTTTGCAGACCCCAGCAGGGGTCTCACCTGTGGATTGGCTCACAGCATGTTTTATAAAGAAATGTGAAGTTATCTCATGTCATTTATTGAGTACTGTACTGAAACTGAAAAACAAAATGGTTGTATGGGTTCTGAACGGTTGTTAAGTGTATCCGCTGTTTACCCTTGTGATCACGTGGCTTACTGGAAGCTGCGGCTCACTCTCTGCCCAGCATCATGGGAGTACTGTGTTGCATATCACCAGCCTGGGAAAGATCAAAATTCAAATTTTGAAGTATGGTTTCTACTGAATGCATATCACTTTTGCACCATCATAAAGTCAAACCATCGTAAGTAGGGGACCGTCTGTACTTACTACATTAACTCTGGGCTAGATGGCTACCATAGACCCTTCACTGCGTTCCACTGCATTTAAACATTCTTTTCATCTTAAAACTCTGCTTTTGGTCACCAAATATTCTTTTTCCTTTCTTGGAGATGGAATCTCTTATATAGTGGAACCACAAATTTATGATTATATTTCCCTCGTTATAAGCCCTGTCTCTTTTTTACATATTTGCTATTATTTCTTTTTGTTATTCTCTTCAAAGGGAAATTTGCCCAGAATTTTCA